GCCAAACGTGTCTTGTTCTGAGACTATATTACCTTTTCCCCCCCCCGCTTCCCCCAATGCCTTCACTTCTGCATAGGGAAGCCGTGTGTGTGTGTGGAAAAAAAAAAAAAAAAACCCCAAAAAACTGCCTAACATTTGATTAAGGAATATAGCGTTTGCCAGTCTAAAACCAAACATATGCAATCCTTCAATATGACGATAGAATTACATTTGCTACATCTACTGGATGATGCAACGAAATCTCTCGATGCAATTGTGCTTATAGCTTGGGCGTATGGCAAACCAGGCTAGAAGGCTCAATAAGGATTCAGTTTGAAAAGTACTTTTTTCTGCCCTTCTCATCAGCAGTGTTGGATGTGAAACAATGGGGGCAGCTTGCATATAGTGCATTTGAATAAATTGGATGTAGGAGTAGGGTGCAGCCAAGAATAACAAGCAGGGTGGCTCTTTTTCCATAACGTGGGAAAAAATGCCCATGAAGGAGTAATGGGATGAAATGATACGATGACATTAATTTTGCAAGCATATTTTTTTCCTTATGTTGGAAAAGGCATACATTCTCTTAAATGAGAAGCCTGCTTTTCTGTGAAGAATATATTAAATATATTAATCATTATTAGTTAATTGGACCTACAGTTCTTTTATATTTGTCTTTATAAGCCAACCTACTGGATTCCCCATCCTCCAGCACAATGCCTATTACTAAGTTGTGATTAGACTAAATCAATCAAACATGTAAACTGTGGCAAGTTGGGGCTGGACAGGTAATTAAATATTCCTAAAGGCTGATAATCCTAAATTTAGTTGCCCATCTGTCTTCTGTTGATTTTAAGCCTAGGTCCAGTAAAGGACTTAGGTGCCTCAGTCCAAAGTTTTAATTAAAAATCTTTGGTTGGTTGTGGCCTAAACTCTGTAGGTTCCTTGCTTTTTTTGACCTCGGAGTTTACCTGCCAGCTGGAGTTGTACCTCTGAGCGTGTCTGTAACAGCCTCAGTCTGCTCTGACCTGTAGCTCCTACCTGAGTCTGGTTAGAATCCAAGACCCAGGTGTTCCTCTGTCTCGGTCCCCTGGATGGTTTGATCAAGACACCGTTTTTGGAGCACACCTCCACATCCTCTCCGAATCCATCTAGATCTTTTCAGAGTACAGCCTTGGAAACTTTCTTCAGCAAGAGGAAGAGAAGGTGTTGCTCGTTGTACTTCAGTAGCCTGCTGCATATAGCAGTTTCTGGGGCAGTAGGAGTCTCTGGCATATTTTCCTTCTTAGCCTGAGTGGGCTCAAACCCATGTTTCTCATCTTTCAGGAGAGTGCCTATTAGGTTATCATACTATTCTGAATTTGGGCCGTCTTCAGCCGTTTTAGGATAGGTATGCCACTGTACAGAAAATAATTCAAAATGAAGTGACCCAGAGCGAGAGGCCTAACTCTAGACTGATGTTGAGGGCTGTTGTATTGGAGTGAAGAGCCCTAATTTGGGGTTCCTAATTCCTGGGCTGTGTACACATCTTCCTTTAGACAGTATTGGATCATGAAAGAAAAGGAAATAATTCTTGGAGCAGAGACTGGAACTCAGACCTCCCCTTCCCCTTCTCCCCTAACCTTTTGATCTCTCCCTTCCCCTCCCCTAACCAAGAGTCATAATCCCTCTTGTGATGGCACCTTCTGGGCCCAAGAATTTTACATTACTTTGTGCATAGTGACCCCAAATAGATGTAAGAGGTGGCCTTCCTGGTAGTCTCCTCATTTGGATACTCTTCCTGGCAAGTGGGAGAGGTTCTCAGAGTCTACGGCTCTTCCGCATGCCATTCTTTAGCCTTTAGGCTATTATATAATAAGAAGGGTGCCACCTCTCCTATTTCTCCCTTAATCTCAATTTTTTAATAACTGAACAAGGCTGTTTCCTTTGAAGGAATAATTGTAGGCACAAAGCCCTCAGGGTCTGGATCCTAAGCGGATGAAGTTAGCTCCATGCCTCTGTGAGTTGGTGTCTAAGCTCTTAAGTGGGGCTGAAGACCAGGCATGCCTGTTTAACATTTTCTGGTGGTGAGCTCACAACAACTTACTGCTTGTATGGAGGTGTTTTGGATTGCCCGGCTGTGATACTTCGCTGTCCACATGCTTTGCATAGGAAGTCTAGGTGTCTAATCTGGTAACGTGAATTTTGGTGGGAGGACAGGTCCCTAACAATTGTGCATTACAGCATATAAATCCTTTATTGGATCTAGGCTAGTCCTAAAAGACCACATCAAAATATAGCCTGTAACTCTTATTTTCCTCCCACCATTCCTGCTTATAACCAATTATTTTGGAAACTTGAAACTGTTTCCTTATCGACAAAATAACCTAGAAAGTGCCTGGGTACTAGGGTAGGCTTGTTGTGTGAAACATGAGCTTTGTAGGTACTTGAAAGACAAGAGGGGGGCTTCCTAGTATTACATACCACTAGTTAATGTATTTAAGAAAAAGGTAAACCAATCCTTGCATCTTCCATTCTTGTATCCTCTTGATTATTGTTTCTAAAGATTTTTTTTTTGTTTTTTCCTGCAGTTGTGGTCGCCTTCGACAGATTCAGAGCATCCTGATGCAAAGCAGCAAATCTCAACCTGATGGAATCCTCTGCATTTTAGGTATTTCTTTAATTATTTAATCAAGTAAGCAACAACGTGAAAAAAATACATGGACTAAAGCAAGGGTGGCCTCTGTGGGCAGGAAGTAGAAGTTGGAGCAGCAGGTTAAGGCAGAGGAAGAAGAGAGCAGTGGCAGTTAGAGAGAGTGCAGAGCTAATTTGTGGCACGCCTGCCAAGATAAGTTGGCCCCCACTGGACTAAACTGTATTTTTAGGTGTCAGAACAGTTGAGGTTAGTAAAGTAACAAGGAAGGATGTAGTCACATGGGGGTCATTAGCTGAAAAATCCACAGTGAGCTACAGCAGAGATAAGAATAATAGTGTCTTCCATATCCCGTATCTACTGATAAAATTTGGCAGGAAGAGCTCTTTCTGACATTGTCCCCATTTCAGCAGTTTTTCTTCTGTTGTTTTCCTTCCATTTTGAGTGTGGGGAAATAATGCAAAGTGCACTTCAGAGGAAAAAAAAAACCCTTTGGAGATGCTCCTGTCTGAAATATAATATTTCGCTCCAGGTACCTGATTTCCAGCAAAATGTTGATGAATTGCAAGGAAGTGATGAGTGACTAGGATAGCAGGGGTTTACTTTATGACACAAGATTGAAAATGAAGCATAATTTGACTCAGCTTTGACAAAGGAGGGACATAATATACAAAGTTTTTTAAGGAGCTAAAGTGCAAAGAAATTAGTGCAACGTAAGAGTAGCTAGGAGTAATGGGCTTGAATTAAAAAATTGCTGCTTAGGAAAAATCACTGACCATATGGCTTGTTGGGCTTAAAATTATCTCCAGGGCCAATGGTTGGAATCCCATTCCTTGGTTGGCACACTGCAAACTAGTATGGATAGATGTGTAATTCAGGGATTTCCTGAATTCTGTTGGAAGAAGTGGAAGCAACTTTCTTTTCCTAGCAGCTTTGTGCTGGTAGGTGGTTGCCAATAATTTTGTTTTTTGGTGATTGCGGTGGGGTGGAGGGAGGAATGTTAGTTGCATTAGAGCCAAAGGTTGCACTAGACCCAAAGATTAAAGAAAGCTGCTAGATGATAAAATGATAAAATACCTGGTAAGGTAATAAAGTATATCATCAAAGAATATATTTGTAAGCACAGGAAAATAATGTAAGAATTGTCCTTTACTGAGAATTACCGTTTACTAGGTCAGACCATTGGTGTGTCTTGCCCAGTATCCCGTCATAAGAAGTGGCCAACTTGGATTTGTCAACAGCAGCTTGTTCTTTACTAGTCTGACTTCTTTTTGTGACACTCTGATGAGCTTTGGGGATAGGGCAGGGGTGGGGTGGATACAATACACTGACTTCAGTAAGGCTTTTCATAGATTTCATAGACATTTGGGCTGGAAGGGA